TTATATATTCAAATTCAATATTTATTTATTATATATAATTTATCATAAATTTTAATTATATATAATAAATATTTAACTTATGCATTAGAGAATTTAGTGTTTATACTAAAATATTAGTTGATTTAGGTTCTTCAAACTTTGTTGACAAGGTGAATCAATTCCAATTCAACCAATTCTTTTAAGTGGAATAAAATGATTGAGTGTACCAATAAATTAAATTAAATAAAACATGAAAAATAAGAAAAATAAAAGAAAAAAATATAAAATTATTATAAAATAAAAAAGTTGATGAATAGTTTTCAAAGTCAGAATTATAAATTAAACAACATAAAAATTATAAAATTATAAAACTTTAAAAAATTAAATTTTCCTACAATAAAAATATAGGTTGGGTTTTATATATCCATATTTGATACTTAAATTGATATCATCATTAAGTTTGCAATTTTAAAATCTGAGCATACTTAACGGATGAGAAATTTTACAAATTCAAGGAATTTGAAATTCTTGGTATTTGAATTACTTTGATTTTAATTTCTATCATTCTTAAAATATTTTGTTTGGATAAGTCAATTCAAATTTCTTAAATTTTAAATTGTTAATTTAGATATGATAATTTGATTCTACCATGATAAAATTGATTTTAAAAATATATTTGTGTATTGAGATTTTTAAATAAAATTTTATAAAAATAAATATTAGCCAATTTTTAAATATTTAATAATTTTAAAAATTAATATTAGATAATATTTAATAATTTTAAAAATATTTTTGAATATTCGATAATTAAAAACATGAAGAGATAAGAAATAAGATAAAATATATAAGTGAAATAAGAAGAAAAAAAATATATGAAGAATATCAAATTCTTACTTTTTTTTGGAGAATTTGAAATTCTACTATTTCAAAGAATTTCACAAATATTTGAATTTTAAATTCCTTATAAAATTTCCATGTAAACAAAGTATTTCACCTCAAAAAATTTGAAATTCTTCAAATAAATGAATTACTCTATTTAAATTTCCCAACCAAGCACACTTAGTTCACGACCTTTAGGTTGATTTGATTGACTTGGGCTCGTGCCCAACCTTGTTAAATGACTTATCATTTGTTTACTCTCTGGCTGACTCAGACTATTTAAGTGACATAATCCTTTCACACTATGCATATATATATA